CCGAGTTTCGCGACAAGTACACGAATTGCTCCTCTTCCAATCCGACGCCTTCTCACTACCGGATTCAAGAGGGGTACTTGCTTGTCCACACATGGGGGAAGAACCTTCTTTGTGTACCGAGTGACCCTCACTTGCATACACGGCTTCTTGGCGAGTTCCACGATGCTCCCGCCACCGAACACTTTGGAGTCAATTAGACGATTGGCCGACTTCGCAAGCGATTTTGGTGGCCCGCCCTTCTCGGCGATGTCACACGCTATTCCGAGTCATGCGAGGTTTGCCGACGCTACAAATCCCGCAACCATCGTCCATACGGCGAGTTGTGACCATTACCTGTCCCCTTGCAGCGAAGGGAAGCGATTGCCATGGACATTACCGGCCCGTTCCCCAAGCACAAGACCGACGTGGATGGGATTCTCACGGTGGTCGATCGACTCACCGAGTTCGCTATGTTTTTGCCTTGCCGCTATCATGCCAAGGCACTGGAGTTGGCCGAGGTTTGGCCGAGGTTCTTTATGCCGGTTGGATTCGAACCACGGGTTACCCCATGGAAATCGTTTGCGACCGCGACACTCGGTTCATGTCCAATGTTTGGTTGGCGCTCATCAAACGATGGGGCTCATTTCTCAAGCCAAGTTCGGCTCGCCACCCGGAAACCGATGGCCAAACGGAGAGGGCGCATCAAACCGCACAAGTGTTCCTTTGCACTCTCATCCGCCCCGACCAGAAGGATTGGGTTGAGCGGCTGCCGGATGTCGAGTTGGCCTACAACTCGTCCATCCACCCGGCTATCGACATGTTGCCCTTCGAGTTCGAGCATGGCTCGCCGGTCACTTCGCCGTTGGACACAATCATTCCACGAATGGCCGAGAGCGACGACCATCTTCTTTTCTTGCGTCGGATGCAAGAACTACTTGTCAAGGCACGCGACCAGATGGCCAAGACGCAACAACGCATGAGCCAACAGGCCAATCGCCTGTGTCTTCCTTGCCCATTCCGCGACGACGATCTCGTTTGGGTTTCTGCCGCGGAACTCAGCCTTGAACAAGACATCTCTCGCAAGCTCCTCCCGAAATGGATGGGGCCGATTGTGGCACCCGCTGATGATGCACCCGAGGGACCTTCCTTTACTATTCAGGTGCCCGCCCACTTGCCCGTCTACCCAGTCTTTCATTGCTCCAAGTTGGCTCTTTACACGCCAGCGGAACATAACAATTTTCCCGGGCGACGTTCACAGGACCCACCCTCTATGGACGGTTTTCAGGAGGTCGGCGACATCATCTCCCAGCGACGCTACGGCAACAGGCCAACCGAGTACTTGGCTCAATTTGCATACTGCACACACCCAGCTGATCGTTGGTTGAACTGTGTGGAACTTCATGCAACAACTCCAGATGTTCTCGCACGCTACAAATGCAAGATGCAAGGCAAGCCGGTCTCTTCAGCTCCACGCCGCACCCGCGTCCAGGTTCCAGCTTCAGATAGTCAGCTTCACCCTCGCTCCGGCTCGACTTCATAAGGAGGGGGGGGTGTTACATGCTGCGCCTGCACACGAGGGCCATTTTCCAGGCCCTGCATCCTTCAGGCTTTCCTGAAATTCAGGCTGAAAGCCTGAAAACCAGGGCCTACTGGCCCCGTGTCTGTTCAGCTCGAAAGCCTGAAAAACAGAGGCCTACAGACCCTGTGTCGTTTCAGACAAAAAAATGGCAGTAGCCTTTTTAGCCTGAAACGAAGAGCCATTTTCGGTCTTTCATCAGACCGGCCTGTCCTGAAACTCGCGCATCAAACCAGGGTTTCAGGAACAGGCTATTTGTGACCTGTTCCCACGACGGCTGCAGCGCCAGGCCCTGGCTCAGTTTGGCATTGGCAAGAGCAGCCTCCTGGACTGCCCGCCCTGCAACTGCAGGCATTCGGAGGCAGTCAGGAGGCAGGCCGAGGTAGTACATAGGGACTTCCCATGCACTTCACGGGTAGGCAGGAGGCAGTCTCTAGTCTTCAGGATCTGGCAGCAGCACTCTGGGGGAGCACTGCAGGAGTAGTTGTAGCGTTAGCAGTAGTCTTCAGCACTGGGCGCTAGTAGCGTTAGTTGTAGTCTTCAGCGCTGGGCGTTAGTAGCGTTAGTTGTGGTCTTCAGCGCTGGGCGCCATAGCTAGAGTAGTGCTAGAAAGAGAGAGATCGGGCGGAGGCCAGGGATACTTACCTGCAGCGCCGTTGCTCCAGCTTCGTCTTCGAGGTACCTGCAGCACAGCACCATCTTCACAGGTTAGTACCTGACACATGAGAGAGAGAGTTCTTCTTCCTCTTCTCCGTCCACCATCTCCTTCTCACCCTCTCGCTATCTGACTTCACTGCATCAGCAGACTACGAGAGAGAGAGAGAGAGAGAGAGAGAGAG